GGCGGGCTGAGGCGGGGGCGGCCGTGCAGGGCCGGAGCCGGCCGTGAGGGGCCGGAGCCATGCAGGCCTTCCTCAAAGGTCCCTCTGCCATCAGCACCAAGCCCCCCGCTGCTAAGGAGAAGGGCGCGGCGGGGAGCAGCGGGGAGGGCAAGAGGCCCAAACCCATTCCCTGGGTGGAGAAATAGTAAGGGCTCTCCGGGGGCGGCGGGGCCGTGAGGGGGCGTTCTGTCTGGGGGGGCGTGTGGAGGAGGCAGTGGGTGCATGGCGAAGGGGGTTGCCGCCGGGGGTGTCTCCCCCTGGGACAGCAGCTTTAGCTGCCTCAGCTGCAGGGGAGAACCAGCCCCGTGAGCTGAGTAGGAGCCCGGTGTCGGTGTTACCGAGTCCCGTCAGTGTTACCGAGTGAGTCCTGTCGGTGTTACCGAGCAGGAGGTGCCGCCGTGCCTTGCTGCTACAGTGCATTAAGTGCTTTGATTTTGAGAAGTCCCTGCGGGCTCAGAAGCGGTGCAGCCTGCGGCAGGGCCCTGCCCTGGGCCCGGCGGTGGGGCGATGTGTTTGCAATGGAAACAGACAAACAGCCTCCCGAGAGGTGCCATCCCCTCCCTCACACCGAGAGGTGCCATCCCCTCCCTCACACCGAGCAGGGGCCTTAGCTGGGTTTCCCGGTGTGGCTTTGCCCTCAGCTACAAGGTTTGCTGTAATTCTTCAGTGCCCAATGTAATCAGACAGGGAAATGGCGTTTCTCTCCATGTCAGTTGTCTTCTCAAACTCTGTTAGCTAATAACTTGCTTTTAACCTCTTTCTGTTTAGTCGCCCCAGAAACGTGGATGAAGTCGCCTTCCAGGATGAAGTTGTTGCTGTGCTGAAAAAGTCCTTGGAAGGTGCTGATGTGAGTGTGATGATAACATCTGCCCAATCGATATGTTTAGGCAGAAACTTTATCCAGCAGTATTGAAAACTTTTCTAACTCAGCAATGATCGTTTTTTACAGTGGTACTTTACAAACCAGCAAAGTGGCTTCCTTGATGTGGTATATATGTGAATTTTGTGATGTTTTCCAGCCCTCTAAACATTGTAAAACTGTCAACTCTGTGATGCCGTTTGGAGTTCTGGAAAAGCTTAATTGGTAAAATAGTTTCAAATCTTTTGTTGTGTCCACACTACTATTCAGCTCATGTTGACATCTGTGTTTAAGAGGAGAGGGGGAATTTTTCTTCCATAGAAAAGTCTGGATTGCCAGTTGTTCCTAAACAGCTCTAGTGATCTATCATTGCTTCTACGAAACTGCTAAACATTAAAACAAATACACTGTTTGCTAATGAGGGAAGTTTAAGTGCCAGGTCTACTACTATGATAGTGATCCACAAACCTTTTAGGTTATTTTCCAAGCAAGTCTCTCTGGCTTTAAGAAGCTCAGTATGACCATTTCATTAACTTCACTGCAGTGTTGGCACCCGAGACCTACAAATATAAAGAGGGTGAGCAAAGCATTTTCAGTTGCTTTTGTTTACACTTGCATTTGCTTCGGGAAAAAAATTTAATAAATACTCAGAGTGAAAGACGATTTCCTCCGAAGCAGGTGGTGGGGAGGTGGAGGGACTGAAGGGAGAAATGAAGCAAGTAGCCAGAGATGGCTGTGCTTTCTTGACATCTGCAAAATCTGGACAATTCCTTTCCTGACTCTTTTGCCTCCTGTTTCACCTAGAAGGGTCATTCCTGTGTCCTAAAAGCTGTTTTCTGTTTTCATGGACTGCTAGTGCCTACTGAAGTAGCTGGTGGCTGTTCTGAAAATGACAGTTGTGATATGGTTGGCTGCTCACCAAGAGCTAAAAGGAGTAATTTGGACAATTTTCAGAGTTTTAATGCAAGAAGCCTTTCACGCTCTGATGTGCCGTATGCATGGGTAGTCTTTGGTATTTGAAAATTTTATCTTACAACAGTTTACTTTGCAGTTCTAGTTTTGACTAATATGAGTCTATTTCTATCTGAAAATATTGATTTACTCATAACTTGCAAAAGTAGAAGTACTTTAGAAGTACTTTATTTGTTTGAGCATAGGGAGCCAAAATGGAGCTGGAATGACAGAGCTGGGAAAGACTTGTATAATTCCTGTCCTGAGTTCCTGTCTCCAGATTCAGTTTGAGAAGGCTGTTGCAATGTGACCTTGTCATGTTGTACCCACAGAAATCTGGGTTTCAACAGCAAGGATATTTGTACAGTTGAGGTAATTAGCAAGAAACTAGTAACAGCTGAAGAGAAATGAGGTGCTGCCACCTATTCTGTCTGGACGTATCAGTCGTGTACCATTGCTTAGGTGATGGGTTGTGAAGTTCTATTTTGAGCAACAGCTATTTAAATCCTGACAGCTTCTAGATCAGCAATGTTTGTGGGATTATGAGCCCAGTGCACTTGCGCTGACTTTTTGCTTCCTGAGTTTAAAAGTCAAATTACAACTTCTGCGTATGGATCCAGGCTTTGTATTTTGCCGTAGCTACCCAAACTCAGCAAGGCATTTGAGAACAAAGTCATGCAAGTACTCCAAAATATTTGATGGAATTTTAAATTTGGATGTTTTTGTTAGTTCTCAAAAGGACTCATGCCATCAGAAAGGCAAAAGTGTAATTTAAACTCTGAGGTGGCTGGTACTTATTTCAGAAGTTCTTATTGAATTTGGAGACCTGGGGAGGTCAAAGAAACAGCTGTGACAGCGCTGTAGGTTTGTGTAATGTGCTTTATTTAAACCTTAGGGATGAAAATGGAGAGCCAGTCCTTTGTTGGTCGGCCTGTAAGTATTTGTGGCCCTTGGTTTGGGAGCTGCTGGATAGAGCAGGACTTCTAAGGCCCTGAAATATCTCCATCTGCAACAGCGGGCATCTGTCTTGTTATAAACTGGGGAGACCAGACTCCACCTGGTTTTGAACTGGAGAAACTGATGAGAAAGTTGATCTGTTGTTGCTTTTTGCAAGGAAACTGACGAGTGCCGTAATATTCTTGCAGTTTCACGTATTTGATGACATAAGGACTGAGTGAGGTGAGGGATTATCATTGCAATTGACATCTCCATTTGAACTGAAACTTCTAGAAAAGGACTTGGGGTTTGCACTCTATGTGGCAGCTTTCCTGGGAGCAGGATGATGCCTGCAGGTATCCTGCTTGCCCCTGGCAGGAATGGAAAACTGGATCACCAGATCGGGTTGCAGCCCGTTTAAAAATACGGCCACAGTTACATAAAGGATTAGGCTGTGCTGGGCGCAGGAGCACAGATATTGGTGATAACTTCAGGGAGAAACAAGCATACACGAGGCTGAAACAGAAACAGTAGTAAAGTACGGGTTTAGCAGAATTAGGAAACAAATTCTTATGAAAGCTTCTTACCTGCTAATGCTTGTTTTGAGAGCTAGTGGAGTCTGGATTAGCAAAGAGGCATGAAATTGTGAGTCTCTGTGAAAATGTCTACCCTTGCAGTGTGCTAACCTAACATGGTTGGTGGTGAATATTCAGCTATCATTCAGGAAACATTTCCTCTCCCTGGAGCTTTCCTAAAAGATACAGCAGGATAATAATGTTGTGGTATCTAATTAACTTGAAAAAAATGTTTGCTAGTACTGAGTGCTGTTTACTCTTTAGTAACTAGGGAAACAAGCAAGGAAGGATTGGCAGAAAGAGCAGGCGAAGCTCGCAATGGATTTATTTACTCTGAATTGATTGAAGATTGAAATTCTTCTGTCTGTACTTTTGCAGCACCTACACAGTTGAGTCTGTTCTCTGTGTCTTGTCTCAGTTGTTAAAATGGGATGCTTGTTATCAAACTGGTCTGTCTCTGCTTCATGTTCTCATTATGGATTGTGTACTCCTGCATTTTGCTCTGCTCTTTGGATGTCTCTGGTTTTGCTGTTCCCATTCTGTCTGCAGTGCTTGCTATTGCAGCATAAAATTCTCTAATCTAATTTTAGTGGAGTCTTATTTTTAAAAACAGAATTTTTATTATTAAGAGCTGGAAATCAAGTCAGGCGGAGAGGTTTGTCTGTTTGCTATAGATGGGAGGGGACTCCTGGATTCTTGTTGTGAGAATGTACAACTGGAACATTCCTTACTGTCGAAGGCAGCAGTGTTACAGTGCAGCCTGATAATTTGTAAGAGTTATTACTTGAAATAGGAATACAGAAAGCTGTCACTCCTATGTTAATTAGAAAGCTTCTTGATTTCAGCCAAAACTTAGTCATGGTAACTTATGCAAATCTGGTTTTGCCAACTTTGTTCTTTGTCCCTGTGTTGCTCTGATGTATTTATGGAGATCAGTCATATTCCTTCTTGGCTTTTGTTTTGCTGAGCTAACAAAAGCAAACTTTTTAAAAGTCACTTCTCATAAGACAGGCTCTTTGCTCCTTTAATCACCTTTCCCAGTTTGGATTCATCAGCCTTGACTCAGGCTGGCCTGGCCTGTGTGTAGGTTTCCAGGCAAAGTCCTGTTTGCCCCGTGTGAGTGTTTGTAATTTTCCATCTGTGTTAAAACCACACATCCTGGGACCACTGTGTTACACAGCCTTATACCATTCCCCTGAATGACAGACAAGACAAAGCCAGCTTGTATTTTATTCCAGCTGATGAATGCCAAGCATCTAGCAGATATTTAGTTCTGTTCTCAAATTGTGAGACTTCATGCTTTGTGCTGCTGAACATTATCATATGCTATTCCTGCCGTCTTTGCTGTGCTGCTTTGATCTTCCTGTGTCAGCATATTTCTTGAATGCATTCCTATTTTTCATACTGAGGTTATTAATTAGATTATTTGAAAGATCAGTTAACCTAATCTCTTTAAGAAATGCCACTGGTCTCTTCCTCCTGTGGAAAATCCTTGGCTGGAGGTAGAAGCGTGCCGGGGCTGTGCGCTGCGGTCGGTGGCGGGGGGTGCCTGTGTGGTTCGTGGTGGGTTCCTCTGCATTGTGCTGGCTGCAGGGCAGTGCCAGCCTTCACCACCTCCCTTCTGCTCGCTGCAGCAGAGCTCATGGCAGCACAGGATTCTCAGCATGGCTTGAAAAGGCAGTCTGGGGAGCTGAGAGCAGACAAGATACTCAACCTGTGCCAAATTTTGTCACAGCTGCACTGCTAATAGTACCCAGACTGTTTGAAGGGCATCCTTGGATAAATGTGCGTGTCACTGCAGTCATAACAAGTTCTGTAGGCTTTAGTGATCTCAGACCTGACCTGGAGGGAATATACCAAAATGAAATAGAAATTGAAGTATCAATTTTGATAGAACACACGATAGTGCCACCAAATAACAGCTTGTTTGTGCTGTGTTATAAAAAGCAACTGTTTGTCTTCCTGTAGAGCACTATGTGCAATGACCTAGAAGTGAAAGACTGATATTATTTACCAGGAGGAGCAGACAGTTTCTGTTCTGTCAGGTGCTCAGATGTTCAGTAGTTTTCCTCTCTGTGGTTTGTTTTGTTTACTTGCTTTTTTTAAAAAAATACTGCCTTGCTGTTTCAGCTTCCCAACCTGTTGTTCTATGGCCCACCTGGAACTGGGAAGACTTCCACGATTCTGGCAGCAGCCAGAGAGCTCTATGGGTAAGCTGGGTCAGGTGGCTTTGGTGTGATTGTCTAACCATGTGGCAGAGTTCCTCTGGTCACTGCCTGTTCTGTGTAGCTCCTGGGTCTTTTCCAGCAATATCTAATTCAGCTCTAATGTAAGATTTCTTTCTCCTTTGTCCTGTCTGTTGCCAATACAGACTTCCATGGCTGCTAGTCTCATGTGTTGTAATCCCACAGCAAAGAGTATGAAAAGAAATGCCTTGCATGTGCCACACTGAACTCTGTAAAGGAATTCCAATTTTAATGGTATATCCAGTAAGCTGTTAGCCACATCTAGATCTCAAAGCACTTCATAAAATGTCTGCATTGTAATCTTTCCATTGTGCACCACTGAACTGTGTCTGGAAGTGATTCTGGGAGTCGGACTAAAACTCAGTGTGTGTACATCCAGCAGCTCACTTGTAACACCTGGGAGTTTTGGAGTAGTGAATTCAGTGACCCAGGAGCGCAAAATGGATGAGAAGGTTTGAGATTGAATCATCTAATCATGACTTTAGTCCCTCCCCCTGCCTCCCATCAGCATCTTTAATTTTTGTCTCATGCTGTTTTTTTGGAAAGAACCACTTCCAGTGTAACAGTAGGAAGACAACCTCATGTTGTTTGTCTGTTTGAATTCCCAGAACTCAAAATCCACTGTGTTCATTTTTTCTCTTTTGTGACCAGAGGTGGTGCTGGATGGTTCTGCTGCTAAATGCTGCCTGTACTATACTTTGTAGAGATTTCTTTCTGGCAGCATAGCAATGGCAGAGCAGCTCCAGTGGCTGCATTGGGGCTTTTTACTTGGTCTTCCACATTGCTCCCAGTGTACAAGTAGGGAGACGTACGGTGCTCTCAGCTTCTGAAGCCACCTTCCTAATTTTTTTTTTTCCCTCGATAACTGATGTAACTTTATGCTTCACTGTTTCTTACAGTCTGGGAGGCAATTGTAAAAATAGCTAATGGAAATTCATACCTAACATGCAATGATCTCGATTTAACTGTCCTTTAACAAAGTATGTTATTTAGTAATGCTGGCAAAAATCATACCTGCCATTTGAGAAGGCCAGAAGGACTGATGATATGCTTTGTTAGCTGCTAACACTTGTAATGATACATGTTGTAATAAAAATTTTGCAGGCCTGAATTATTCCGGCAGAGAGTCCTTGAGTTAAATGCTTCTGATGAGCGTGGGATACAGGTGATTCGGGAGAAAGTGAAGGCTTTTGCTCAGCTCACTGCGTCTGGAACCCGCTCGGAGTAAGTGCTGCATCAAAGCTGGCTCTGGTGGACTTCCTTGCTTAGGACAAAGCCCATGGTTGCTTTTGTTTAGGTGAACTTTATAATTCTAATATAAATAATGGGTCAGCATTTCCCAGAAGCTTGCAACACATAGAATCATATGGGGTTGGAAGGGACCTCTGGAGATCTAGTCCAACCCTCCCACCGGAGCGGGGTCTACCTAGAGCAGGTTGCACAGGAACTTGTCCAGGTGGGGTTTGAATGTTTCCAGAGAAGGAGACTCCACCACCTCTCTGGGCAGCTTGTTCCAGTGCTCTGCCACTCTCACAGTAAAGAAGTTCCTCCTCATGTTATGGTGGAACTTCTTATACTCAAGTTTGTGCCCATTTCCTCTTGTCCTGTCACTGGGCACCACTGAGAAAAGACCAGCCCCATCCTCCTGACACCCTGCCTTTAAGTATTTGTACGCATTGATCAGATCCCCCCTCAGCCTTCTCTTCTCCAGACTAAAAAGACCCAAGTCCCTCAGCCTCTCCTTGTAGGAGAGATACTCCAGGTCCTTAATCATCTTTGTGGCCCAGCTGTCCCCTCTCCAGCAGTTCCCTGTCCTTCTTGAATTAGTTGCTAAAAGAAGAAACTTAAAGCAAAAGTACTTCCCCCCCCTCACCCCCAAAGGGGCTTTGCAATATTCAAGTGTCGATCTTTCTATGGGAACTCAGTCCTCCCTGTTATTACAAATAGTAGCCCGTTATCTAAAAATAATAAAAAAGATTGAATCTCTGAATGTGTTCTATTTATTGGGTATAAATACTTACTGCAAATAGCAAGTCATATTTTACTTGTGTGTTTTTTTTCCTTGGTCTATATGTTGCATGTCTCCTGGATAACAGGTCTCTCATTTTTCAGTGGTAAGGTTTGTCCTCCTTTTAAAATTGTAATCCTGGATGAAGCAGACTCCATGACTTCAGCAGCCCAGGCAGCCTTAAGACGCACAATGGAGAAAGAATCAAAAACAACACGTTTCTGCCTCATTTGTAACTATATCAGCAGGTACGAGGGGAATTTGTTGCTGCTTTGGATTTGTTGTTGTTCCTATTCTGTACAATTTTTTTTTTCTTCCTCGCTGAGAGGCTGATGACTAGTTGTCATAGTTTTGAGTTAGAGATGTAACTATGTGAGTACAAGACTGAAGACAATATTTAGGTATCAATATTTCTTTTTCCCAGTGGTGCAGTTTTAAGGTTGTGCTGCCCTTTTCTGCCTCGAATGCGTTGTCTGTAAGGACTTGACCCATGCATTCATTTACCAAGCACTTACTTTCCTCTTTTTCAGAATAATTGAGCCTTTAACATCTCGATGCTCCAAATTCCGCTTTAAGCCTTTGTCAGACAAAATCCAACAGCAGAGGCTACTGGAGGTGTCTGAGAAGGAACACGTGAAAATCAGTAATGAGGTAACTTTGTGGTTGCCATGGAATTGTATTGCTTGATCCAGTGTGTAATGGCATTGCAGGGAATGGCAGGTTTTTCCAGACTGCTCAGCTGTATTAAATAGGAGATAGAAACTCATTTAGGTATCATTCTCCTTCCCTAGATGGGATGAATTTTAGGAGTCTTGCTAAAACCAGAGAAATGTCCACCAGAGAAACCTGAAGCAAAACTGTAGGGCTTTGTTCTGTGCTGAGTATATTTGCGTTAAACCGTGTTACATTCTGAAATTGCCAGCACATGTTTGTATTAGTAGAAAAGTTGCTTTGTACCTCGTGTGTTGTGCCTGAGACAACCTGCCTTCAGCACTGCCTGATGTTTTTAAAATCAATGTGCTGAGAAAGCGGACTGGATTTTAATTAATGAAGAACATCTAACTTGGCGTTTTCTGACATTATTTTTCAGGCAGTATCTTACCTTGTTAAAGTGTCAGAGGGGGACTTAAGAAAAGCAATTACTTTCCTTCAAAGTGCCACTCGGCTCATGGGCGGGCAGGAGATCACGGAGAAGATAGTGATGGAGATCGCTGGGGTAAGCTCTGCCTTACAGCTCCTGCTGGCCTTAGTCTGGGAGGTGTTGGTGTGGGAAGGGTACCTGCTCTCCCTTTCCTCAAAGTTGGATTAAAAAATCAGCTTATCCCTATTTGTATTGCAGTGTGGTACTGATACACCCTCCCCCAGGACTATAAAGGCTGGTTCTGTGCACTTACTACGTAGCAAGTGTCCAACAAGGACAATGGCAAAATAGTCTCGTGATTCCAACTGAAGTTAAATATTCTGCCCACGAGTGCAAAATGTGCTGTCTCTTGTGGGACAGTAGAACTAGAATGTCTTTTTGGTGCTTTTATATAAATGTTTGCGTTTCTGTGTGTGTTTTGGAAGGATCTATACTTACAGACAGGGTTTGGAAATGCCACAGGGGAGTGACTTTCAGTCACAGGATGTTTCCAACTTCCCATTCGCGGTGACGGCGTCTCTCCTGGGATCTGTGTGGGATCTCGCTGCTTAACAAAAGAGCAGTGATGTCTTCTGGAATGACAGGGACAGGAGAAACCTGAGAGGAAAGGTGTATCTGAACCTTGTGTGAAGGTGTTCCTATAGCAACAAAGCACTTATTCCATGAAAGTGAGAAAAGTGAGATTAGGAGTTGAGGAGCAAATGGGCTTTAAGGCTGGACACGCATCCCCAGAGGTGCTGCCCTCCTCCCTCAGTGTGAGGGTTGTGGGGTCTTCGTGTCTGTGAAACCAGAGGCAGTGGCCACTGAGCATGTTCTCAGTGCACAGTTTTAAAGGATTTCCAGAGTGAATTTGTTGAGTTTTGTTTATCTAGCTGCAGGGAAGAGCTGGATTTCACTCACACGTACCTGTAACTCCCAATTGCCAGGAAACCTGGCAGAAGTGACTAATGATAGGAGAGAGAAGCATGAAATTCCATTATTAAATCATATTTGTTTAAACCAAAGGAACCCAACTTTGCATAAAGACTTCAAGTTCTTGGTTGTATATAACTTCTTGTGACTCTGGAATGACCTTAGTACAAAGGATTAAGAAGGTATTTTTGAAACGGAGCTGTGCCAATGCTCAACTGAGGGGAGTGACAATGAGGGGAGGGGGAGTGTGGGTGGCACTTCTCTGCTCAGAGCTGAATAATGGCATCTGACAAATGTTTTTCTCTGATTTACTGTCTGATCTTGTTGCATCGGGCTGTTTTGTACGTCCCTGGTGTGGGACTGGAGAGAAGCCCAGTTTGCTGTTTGCCTGGGTGGGGGGTGGCACAGAAAGCACCAGCTGATCTGACTGAGTCCTCCAGAGAGGCAGTGTCCTGAGCAGGCGACTGGCCTGGGATTTAGGGAGCTGACTGTGACCATTCACTGTCACTGTCTGTGTTTATTTGAATGTCACCAACATAGAAGGAAAATTACAGCCTTGCTCTCACTCAGAATTTCATTTGTCTGTCTTAGAGCCGTGTTTGAGAGCGGCTGGGTGTGTGGAGGGAGAAATGCTGAAGGGGCCTCCTTCAGACGCAGTTTGTAGCTGTCACAGTAAAGCAGCAGCTTCAGTTTTAAGCTGAAATTCAGAAATGTAACTTCTCGTTACAGGTCATCCCCAAAGAAACAATTGCTGAGCTGCTGTCTGTCTGCCAGAGCGGGTCATTCGAGAAACTGGAAACACTGGCCAAGGTAGAGTCCCCTTGGTGCCCCGGGGGGGGTTTGTGTCTATGCCCCTGGACCCTCTGCTGCTGGGAACACTGGGGTCGGTCAGGGGGTGCCTCTCAGGAAGCCTCTGTTCGATGGGAAGTATCTGAATAAAGTTGTAATAACTCTTCAGTTTTAAAATAATTTGGGTTAATCTTGGAGCACACCAGTGAGTCAGTTTGTCTGACAAACTGTGGCGGCTTCAAATAGATCTTGCTGGAGAAGGCACAAGCTGCTGGTTCATAGAGGTGGGTTTATTTTCTTTAACACAGAACAGGTTCTTGGTGTCTGTGAAGAATGGGAAATTCCTGAACTTCTGAGTTTGAAAAATAAGATTGTGCCAACTCTTGGTCTGTTTTTGTAAACTTCTCTGCCTCAGTGGCTTCCTGGACTACTGTTCTCAGTGTTTGCTGCTTTTGGAACTGGGTGTTACTGATTTTTTTTTTAAAAAAAACCCTATCATTAGTTACCATGGTTTTTATTTTATTAGAAGTATTTTGGCCTTGCAGATCTGTGTGTGTCTGAGGCAGGAACTGCCAGATGAAGGAAATAAATCAGAGTAGGTGGCAGTTCCAATGTGAAGGCTGTGAAACTGCCACACGATGCTAGAGATGCAAAGCTCCCCTAATTTTAAATAAGATTGGGCAGATTCAGGGGAGGTTGTGAAACGCTGAAAATGTCTCTAGCCCAAAAAATGCCTGAGATGGAAACTGCCAGAAGCTGGAGGGATAGTTGGACAGAAGGATGGCTCTGTGCTCCCACGGCTGCTCTTGGGTGCTCCCGTCAGGATCCGGGGCTCCAGACAAACTCCTGGTGCCTCCTCTGAAACTGGGACGTTCCGTAACACGGCCCAGTGCACTCTTGCAGTTCAGACAGTTTTTCAGGTTGGTTTTCCAGCCTGTAGCATTTCTGCTGCTGGATTATGTCCTTTTCCCTCTGTCCCTGACACAGAACCTCATCAACGAGGGGTATGCTGTAGCTCAGCTCGTCAGCCAGCTGCACGACGCCGTCGTTGAGAGCGGAGATTTCAGCGACAGGCAGAAATCTGCCATCACAGAGAAGCTGGGGGTAAGTGCTCCTGGGGTTACAGACCCCACCTCCATCCCCACCCCTTCGTTTGGGTTCACTCACTCCCTCTCCCAAGTGTGCGTAATGCTTTATTTGGATTTTCAGTTCTGAATGTTTCCTGGTAGAACATAAATTTTTTGCTCTGGGGAATTTCCTGTGAAGGGATTGAAATCTGGTTCAGTGAATTGTCAGCCGTGTTAAACCGTTCCAGTGGTCCCCCAGCAAGAGGTTGGTGGGTTGAGTTGGTTTTTAAAAGAAATTTAGAGGGAAAATTAAGGCAAGGTTTTTAAGTCAGCACTTAAACAAAGGGGGAGCTGCAAAATGCAACTTTTTGTTCTGGGGTGTGAAATAAGACTAAAAATAAAAAGGGGGGGTTAAGTAACTTCTCTTTAAGAAGAAAGTTTCTGTGCCTCCTGTACAGAAGCTGTCCTGTCTTGGGGGCTGGGGAGGTGATTTTTCCCCAGGTGTGTGACTGCTGGAATGTCATTGCCAATTAAGCAAACTGTTGGCAAACTTGGAACTGTGGAATCACAGGATGGTTTGGGTGGGAAGGGACCTTAAAGCCCCCCCAGTGCCCCCCCCTGCCCTGGGCAGGGACACCTCCCACCACACCAGGTTGCTCAAAGTCTTGTCCAGCCTGGCCTTGAACCCCTCCAGGGATGGGGCAGCCACAGCTTCTCTGGGCAACCTGGGCCAGGCTCTCACCACCCTCACAGCAAAGTTCTTTCCCAGATCTCATCTCAATCTCCCCTCTTTCTGTGTCAAACCCTTCCCCCTCCTCCCTCATCCAGAGTCCCTCCCCAGCTTTCCTGGAGCCCCTTGAGGGACTGGAAGGAGCTTGAAGGTTTCCCCTGGAGCCTTGTCTTCTCCAGGCTGAACCCCTCAACTCTCTCAGCCCCCCCTCACAGCAGAGGGGCTCCAGCCCTCCCAGCATCTCCAGGGACTCCTCTGGCCCTGCTCCAAGTTCATGGAGGTGCTCCCTGGGCTGGGGAAGGAGAGCGCTGTCTCACCCCCCCTTTCCCCTTGGCAGGAAGTGGACAAGTGCTTGGCCGACGGTGCTGACGAGTTCCTGCAGCTGGTGAGTCTGTGTGCCCTGGTGATGCAGCAGCTGACACACAACGAGTGAGGGGCTGTGCAGGGACAGCGCTGTCCTACGGCTTTTTGTAATAAAAGCACTGCTGGGCAGTGGGAAAAGCTCAGGAGCAGAGTGTGTTTGTGGGAGGGGAGGAGCTCTCTGGCTGCTGAGGGGCCAGGGATGCTCCTGTCCCCATTCTTTTTGAGAACTTACAGAGGGAGAGGTAAATGCATCCAAAATGGGTGTGTAGGGGCTGTAATTAGTCCCCATCAGCTGAGACAGGGGCTGGGTTGTTCCTTTCAGTCCTCATTGCTGTGTTCTGGAGATGCAGCTGGGCCACAGACCCTGTCACTGAGTGAACACAAAGGTTTGGGCTGAACCCAGCCCCAGGGGGATCGAATTGTAGAATTCAGGTTGGAAAAGACCCTTGGGATCATCAAGTCCAACCATCAGCCCCATTCCACAAAGTCCACCATATCCCCCAACACCACAGCTAATAAACACAGCCAAAGATAGTGACTCAACCCCCTCCCTGGGCAGCCTATTCCAGTCTCTGACCCCTCTTTCTGTGAAGAATTGTTCCTAATGTCCAGTCTAAACCCACCCTGTTGTGGCTGGAAGCCATTCCCTCTCCTTCTATCACAAGTTACCTCCCTACAGTGTCCTCTCAAGCAGCTGTAGAGAGCGATGAGGTCTCCCCTCAGCCTCCTCTTCCTCAAACTGAACAGTCCCAGCTCCTTCAATTGCTCTTTATGAGATCTGTTCTCCAGGCCCTTCCCAGCTCCGTTGCCCTCCTCTGCACCCGCTCCAGCACCTCCAGATCTCTCTTGGATTGAGGTGCCCAAACTGGACACAACACTCCAGGTGTGGCCTCACCAGTGCTGAGACCAGGGGGACAGTCACCTCTCGTATCCTGCTGGTCACACTATTTCTAATACCAGCCAGGATGCCACTGGGTGAAGGATCTTACCCTTTTAGCATAAATGATGTAAAAAAATCCCTTTCTGGGATTCACAACACCTGCTGCACTCAAGCTCCAGCCCTAAGGGGGGAAGGGGAGGTGACGGGTCAGGGCACCTTCACAAGAAGGCTGAGATTCTCCCAGAGAGTTGCTGCTCAAGCTCTTTCCAGGGCTCTGGGGGCACCTTTGGGGCACCCCAGGACCTGCTCCTGCCACCGCAGCTGCTCTAAGCCTTCCCCAGAGCAGTACTGGCCAGGCTGGCAGCCAGGGTAATTAGCAGAGGCAGGGTAATTAGCTCAGGCAGTGGGCTCTCGATAATCAAGTCAGTGCTGCTGCTGAGGGTCTAACTCTGCTGGGGGGGTTGGTCAGTCAATGGAGCCCAATTGGCCAAAGGCAGGGAGAGCTCTGGCCACGAAGCCCCTGCTCTTAGTGGGGCTGGGTTGGGTCGAGCCCCCCCTCTGACTAAAAAGCGACTGTTTACAATTTCAGTGAATATAGAAGTATTTTATTGAACATTCAAACTTCATTAAGACATGTGCAATATGGCAAATTTTACTGGGTTTAACCCTAACTAAGACAATAGTATGATTGCTTGCTTGCTGGGGCGTAGCAACAGGGTCCAGATCACACTTACCACTAATTAAATACTTTATTGAATAAATACATATGAAACAAAAATGCATTTTAATGCTCTTATAAAAGTTTAGAGATTTTGAAAGGCCTTTCCAATTCAATCTGAAGTGTAAGTACATACAATAAAGGAAGGTAGGCTAGTTTAACATAATTGGCTGACTTTATACAGCACTTATATCTTTTAGTCCATAAGTAAATTATTAAATGATAAAGAACATCTAATACAACCACTTCTATGGAACTAGGAAATAAATTTCTAATAAAGAAAAAATTTACAGACCCCATGACTTTCCACCCAACCCCAACAGTCTAACCCTAAAGTGGATAAAGCCAGCGGCTTCCCCCACGAGAGCTCACGACAAAAAGTCGCTTCGCTTATCAAGAATCTGTATTTCTGATCCGTTATGAGCATTGAGACAAGATTCGATGTATCCCCAAAGAAAGAAGCACGATGCGCGTTGTGAATCGCCTATTCAGCACCAGCCAGCACTGCATTCACAACCACCTCAGCCCAGGGATTAAATGAGATCCGCCACGTTCATCGGCATCTCCTCCACCGTGGTATTGTAGAAAGTCTCAATGTCTCGCAGGATCCTCTTGTCCTCCTCAGTGACAAAGTTGATGGCCACGCCTTTTCTGCCAAAGCGCCCGCCCCGGCCAATCCTGGGGGGAGAGAACACCCGTCACACACCGGCCCCGCTCACCTGCGCTGGCCCGGCCACACCGGCCCCTCCGGCCACACTGGCCCCTCGGGCTGCTCCTGGGCTCAGAGAAAGGAGTTAGTGCGGCTGCGGGAGGAGGCATCCCAAGGAGAGCGCAGCAGGACGGGCTCCGGGCTGCAAAGGAAGAGCTTGTTCAACTGCCCCACTGCCCCCAGCCCCACAGCACAGGCCTGGCCCTGCCCCACCAGCCTGGGCCTCGTTACATCCTCCCGTTATGTCCCTACCACAGAGCAGCACACTCAGCTTGGCAACTTCAACTCAGCGTCAATCCCAGTGGGAAAACTTAGGGCTTTGGCTTTGTTTTTTTTTTAAACAGCAAAGTCCAAGCTCAGCACTCCTGTGGCACAGGGGCACCCGGCAGGGCACACCTCCGCTCACAGCAGGACTCGGGGAATAACCACGACAAAAGAAATATATAAATACCGACTGGCTCTGACTCAAACTGTGCCGCTTACGAATCCACGTCCTAAATTACGTCACCGCCGCTTCTGAGCACCATCCCGTGTCACCAACTGCTGCTACCGACTCCTGTATTCGTTTACATCAAGTAACAAAGCACAGTTTACTTCATTTAGGGACAGTGACGAGAAGCAGTTACCTAATCCCAGGGGAACACAGCTCCAACTGCCACCAGGAGACACAGCAGAGGACAGAATCCCAGCGGGAGGAGCCACCAAGAGCAAACAAGGCCCAGGCAGGTGCCAGTCCTGCACCTACACCCCTGCTCTGCTCACCCAGCTCCCACACTGCCAGCAGCAGCTCTTGTCAGCACCCTGCACAGCTGTGTGACAGTGTGACATCCCCAGCCCTCAGCCATGACCAGAGCTCAGCCACACCCCAGTTTTTCCACTGCTTTACTGCCCCGTAGTTCTGCTCCTCCCTGTCTCAAAGCCAGAGCTGTGCAAACCAGGGCGTTCCTTAAGAGCCAAAAAACCCCAAGCAGTGCATTTCCTGCACCAGTAGAGGTGTCACCTGTTCCTGGGAGGGGCTAAGGGGGGCACAGGCGAGGGGCTGTGCCCATTTCTGGAGGAGGGGACACGGGGGGGACAGAGCCCACTGACCTGTGAATGTAGTTCTCCCGGTTGGTGGGCAGGTCGTAGTTGATAACCAGGGACACTTGCTGCACATCGATGCCACGAGCCTGAAAGGCCAAGGAGAGGCTTTAATGGAAGTCACAGGCTTCCCCTGCCATCACTGATCCCGTGCTTCTGTCGACCACAAGGTTAGTGACGGACTACAAGGGTGCAGCCCATAGTGGAGCGCGGTCCTTACTCTCCCAACAAGCTCCAAACAGTTCAGGCTACAAGAACCTTCACTGAACCATGAAGCTTTTGGCACTTGATCTGAACAGAATCGTGTTTGCTGCAAGCAGAGACTCACCAGCAAGTCAGTGGTGATCAGGACACGGCTGGATCCCGACCTGAACTCCCTCATGATCACATCCCGCTCCTTCTGGTCCATGTCACCGTGCTGCAGGGGTAAAGGTGCTCGTTACTACACTTGTGGTGCTCCAGACAGGAGCCCCCTCTGAAACCCACGTGATGTCTGAAACCCAGCGTCCCCACCTGCCGTGGGAGGAGGCAGGCAGGGATAGAAGGAAGCAGTTTTCTTTAAGCAGGGGGAACGATAATACAGCACCACACAGCCGTATTATAACTTTCCTGCTTTGTGCTCAGGGGAGCTCCTCACCCTTGGTTTTTCAGGGTGTACAGGGCTTTTCAGAGTAACAGAGTGTCAGTTCTTACCAGAGCCGAGACGGTGAAGTCCCTGGCGTGCATCTTCTCGGTAAGCCAGTCCACTTTTCTCCTCGTATTCAGGAAAATCACAGCCTGGGTAATGGTCAGTGTCTCGTACAGATCGCAGAGAGTATCCAGCTTCCACTCCTGAACACAACAGAGAGGAGGGGATGCATCACACCCACAGAATCCCAAACAAGGACTAAAGCCCCACAGCACCAAGCAAGGCTGCTCTACGTGTGACCCCAACAAGTGGGAACAGACCACCAAGGGCACTTTGTGCATCAACTGTTGCACCAGATCTTCTGACCCAGGACACTGGACATTAAGAAAGAGGTCCACCCCAGTCAGTTTGGATCCAGTGCATGGTTGTTCTTCTTCCTGCACGTACTCTGCTAGCATTATCCCAGAGCCCAGAGCTCTGCCTGGTCCCTGGGATTTTAGCACAGTGCTTTGGACAAGAAGGGCAGGGACTGGCCCCGTCCTGCCGGAGCAGCCCATACCAACCTCTCTCTCAACGTTGATGTAGAACTGCTTGATACCCTCCAGAGTCAGTTCTTCCTTCTTCACCAAAATCCGGATGGGATCTCTCATGAACTTTTTGGTCACTTCCAACACATCCATTGGCATTGTAGCCGACAGCAGCACAACCTGGCACACATTAACTGGTGTTAGTAGGGGCCTAGGACACCCGCTCCCGTGCGGACAGCGCAGCAGTTCCCCACTGCACCCACAGCCAGCAGCTGAACCACAGAAAAGGTTTTTACCTGGATGTTTGTGCTCAGTTTTTGAAAGATCTCATAAATCTGATCCTTGAATCCACGGCTCAACATTTCATCAGCTTCATCCAGAACAAACATTTTGATCCATTTAGGTGCTAGTAAAAAAAAAAAAAGTATGTAATGAAGTTTCAGAAACACACTAAGCACTTTGATCGACATCACCCTCCTTTAGGACTGAGCTTTCCAGTACAACTCTCCACTTAAGCTCTTGCTGGGTATGAAATTTACACTGGAAATTGATTACCAAGAGTGAAATTGAACTGGTACTTACAAAGGTAGCGCCTGTTT